ATAGTGGTCTATTTCTTTCAAGTAAATCTAGACCACAATGCCTCTGAGAAACTTGACAACCTCAAATATGGAACAACTTTTTGATTTTGTCCAGAACAGTTGCTGCTATAACACCCGTAGGATAAGATCTGCCTACATCTGTACTTTTTAGTGTAACTATTGCAACATAGACCTATCAAGGCTTGAATATTCAGGCCTACGTTTATTTGTTTTGCATTGCTTTGGAATTGATATAATTATGTAGAAGAGCTGAGCCATTTTACACTTGCTATCCAAAACATTATTTAATCTTCTGAGACACTTGGATTAGAGGAAGTCTGTTATCATTTATCAGATGCATTCTTATAGTGGAGGAAGAAAAACAGACTGTCCTTCCAGAAGCAATAGAAAACAGGTATTTTCAAGTTATTTCTTCTCCAGCTCCTGCAACTCAGAGGAGATATTGGGGCCCATTTTTAAAGACTCAGAAGTTGAGAGGGAAGGACTTTAACTACTTTTGTTAAACAGGGCCTGTTTATACTACATAGAAAACCATGTCAAGAGATCTAGGTGTTACACTGTTGTGCCCAACATGGCTAAAATATGCTTCACTTTGTAGTGTGAAAAGGATCTTCAGTGTATTCCCGCACTGAGCTAAAGCCTTGACTTCACTGGGCTTTGAGTCAGACCTAGAGTTGTTATTAGCATGAGATTATTACTTGCTCCACTTGTGTGAAGTTCAGGATATGAGAAAGGGCTCAGGGAACCCTTCTCTTGTTCACCAACAGAAGATGATCCAATAAAAGATATTGCCATGCCTTCTTTGTCCAATATTTGTTTCAGACCATTTATGCTTGTCGCCAAGTCTCCCTTCCAGTTCTGGATTAAACAGAACATGTTTTCTTATTTTAAAAAAAATATTTTCTCTAAATTGTTTCTGCCCCAGCAAGCAGCCAGGAGCAGCTGCCCACTATATCATGCAGCCCCTGCCACTCCAGGCCAGCTGATGAGTGGCCTGTGCGGCACTCTCCCACTCCGGGCTGACCCAAGGGATAAGTCAGCAGGTGTCCTGCGTGGCCCCCACCTCTTTGAGCCAACCCCGGGGCGAAGAGGATTATTAAAAATGTTGGTTTTAATAATCATTTATCAGAGAAGTCGGAGGGGGGGGGAGTTCTGGACAATGCATGAAGGGCTAGAGGGCCTGAAGGGAGCTGTTTCAGGTTCCATAATAACTAGAATGGTATTTTAGGAGCACACCATTTGTTACTGGCTTGGTGAAGCCTTATCAGTGGCAGATTAGCAAATGTGCCAATGGGTCTCATGCCAAGGGAGCTTGGCCAGTTGCGGGGGTTACAGAAAAACAGGTGCCACCACTCCCTGATCCTATCTGCCTGCCCAGCATGCCTGTCCGGGAATGGGAGCTTGCCCCACTCTGGCCACCTGCTGGGGAGTAGGAGAAGCCTCTGTGCCCCAATCTCACTCCCTAGTAGGAGTGTCTGGTGGGTGGGGGAATACTCCGTGTCCTCCCCAGCCCACTGGCAGGAGTGCCAGGCATGGGGGGCACAGAACAGGGCAATCTCCATGCCCCAACACCACGCCCTGACAGGAGCACGTTGAGCCAGAGGGTTTGGAGGCAGAAAGAGTGGGGAGAGCCCCCTTTCTCTGGCCCAGGACTTCACAAACACCTGATCTGCCTCTGAGTGTATCACCAGTCTGGGGTATGTGACCTATATTCTGACACTTTGACCTGAGATATGTTACCAGGTAGTGCGATAATTGACTCATGTGGTGCCATTTTCACCCTCAGTGTTTACAGCAGTGTAATTGGGAGCAGGATCTGATACCTGCAGAGTTGGTTGAAAAACTACAATGGTCTTTCTGGAGACATTTCCCAGAACAATTTTTCAATGAAAAATTGAAACATTAAAAGTTTTTGGATTTTGAAAAAAATGGTTTTGATTAAACATTTTATTGAAAAATGTTCTATTTTCACTAAAAATGTCTGGGCCTTGTTTTCAGTTTCTTAATGAACAGAAAATATCAACCATCTTTTTGTTTAAAATATGTTTTAACATTATTATTAACTCTATAGTTTTAGGGATATTCTGCAATGATACAAAGGTATCTGCAATCTGTGGGAATTAGGCACCTGAGGATCTGGAACATAATGGTTATTCCTACTACAGGCTGAACCTCTAAAATCCAGGACTCTCTGGTCCGGCAACATCTGTGGTCCAGCAGCATCACGGATATTGCTGGACCAGATTGCCTTGGCTGCCAAGTTAAGAAGCACCGCCTGGGCTGGGCTGGCAGTGGGGAGTGCATCCTCAGTGGGGCTGGCATAGTGGGGAATACAGCCCTGGTCAGGGCTGACAGCAAGGAGCTCAGCCACAGCCGGGGCTGGAGGCAGCAGGGCCAGCAGCCAGGAGCGCAGCCCTGCTGAGGCGGGAAACACAGCTGGGGCTGGCATGGTGGTGGGGGAGGAGAGGAATGCAGCCCCAGTCACGGCTGGTGGTAGCTAGGCATGCAAGTCAGTCCAGCTCCATGGGGGGTGCAGCCCCAACTGGAGACAGCAGGGCCTGCCCCCTCCAGGGCTGGCATGGTGAGGGACAGGAGGCAGCAAGGAGCACAGCCCCAGCTGAGAGCAGAACTCACAGCCCAGTAGGGAGCCTTGACCTCCCCTTGCCTGGCAAACTCTGTGGTTTGGGACCACTCAGATCCCAAGGGTGATGGACAAGGAAGGTTCGACCAGTAGTAGTTCTTGAATAAAGAGGAGAATAGCCTCCCTAAAACTTTAAACAATTCCTGAGAGAACAGTTATAATCACTAGCTCATCTTAACATCAGTTATATATGAATGGTGTCTTTTTTCTGCTTTCTACTTAATTTCAGATTAATATAATCACACCACAGATATTTGTATTTTGTAACATATTGAAGCCCAGGGCAGAAAGTTACATACACTGCAGCAAAACAAATTATCATTCATACAGGAATGCATACATGTGTGATGTTAAAATGTGTCTTTCACAGTGTCCTAAAGCCTCAAACTACCAAGGAAATAAAAATCCAAATCAATGTAAGGGTCAGAATAAAATCTGGATCTCATCATTATTAATTCAGCTGATCTAAGTGGTTTACTGTTAAGCTTAATTATAAGAAGAAATTAACCTTCTCTATAAACCTAATCTTCTACAATGCAGCCAAATAATCATTGTAACTGGACAGTGATATATCTATAGTAATCAGATGCTACATGGTCATTAATGGTATTTTTTATTTCTTTGGCAGTGTTTTCTTGTCAGGGCATTTTTTTCAGCTTGGTAGTTATAGGAGTCAGCTATAACTCTGTTTCTAGAAAAGAATGTTTTTATCAAAAATATGACTTACATATTTGCATAGACTTTGGTGCAAATAATTTTCAAGTAGTTTACAAACCATGGTCCCTATTCAGATAAGTATCCTTTTCAGAAAAGCACTTCAAAATGTGGTTATAGTTAAGCTGCTAAAACGCATTGCTGAACAGAGATGAACTTAAGCATGCATTTAAATGTTTTCTTGAGTCATGATGTATATGTGAAGCCACTCTAGTGTGGAAAAAGACAGGTGCATAACTGTGTCTGGAGGAGAACATGTCTGCTTGATGTTACTACATTTGGGTCTTTTGCCATAGAGGGTATGTCTTCACTTTAGAGTTAGTGCAGTGTCTTCCCAGCTGTTACCCCCAATGCCCTACCCAACCTGGAGTTGTTGACTTATCTGAGGTCAGGGGCAACAGACCAACTCAGGCTTTCACTCAGGCTGGGAACACACCCACTTTGCTGTGAACTTGCAGGCTGAACACTCCAGTGTGGACAATCTTCAAGTGCTTTCCCACAATTTCCCCCCATGTGCTCGGAGGGAAAGGCAAGTTCTCCCACAAGTCACTGGGAACAACAGAGGGGTCAGCTTACTGCAACATTGTGGCAGGCAGTTAGTTTTAGCCATCAAGCAAATCTGGAGGACCAAAACTTGTTCTTTCAGATTAGGTAGCTACTTCTCTACAATGCTGTTAATAGTGCCTTGGCTAATACCTTTGGCCCCACTTCAGAGTTCAGCTCCTTTGAAAATCTGACCCACATTTAATGGTAGAAAAAAAGATGAAAGATGACATTAGAGCTGGTGTAATTCTATAGAATCTCAAACAGTTTCATCACACGTCCTCCACCCTGTTGGTGCCATCTGTGAACAAGCTTCTTATTGATATCAATGTAATGTTAGGATGTTCCTGGAACATTCAGCAGTCCAGCAGGTGCGTTTACCTGGCTGTGCTGGCATGGTTTAACGCGTGACTTTCAAAAGCCTTTCAGTTGAAATCTCAAACAGCAAGGTGCCGAATTAAATCTCTGCATTTTTGAAGCCTGAACGCTCTCTTTACTAAACAAACACTCTTTAATATGGGACCCAGAAAGTTCAGATTTAAAGGCTTGATCATCAAGGCTGCAAGTATCCCATTAAAGTTGCTGGGTGCTCAGGGTCTACAGTTCTTTTCAGAGACAAACTATACTTTGCAGGATCAGGCCCTATGCAGTCTTGCCTGTCTCAGGGGGTACACGCTGGAGAAAATGTCTTAGGCAGCTAGGGAAATGTTTGGAATTCAACAAGGGTTTCAAGCTTATAGTTGTAGGTGCCTGTAGAATATAAGATCCTCTCCTAGAAAAAAAAACACATTTCAGAAGCTTTGCTCCCATAAAATGTAAATGTCTGTAGCGACTACATTAGTCTTATATAAAGATTCTTTAATGTTTTGACTCGGTCAGATTGCTGTAGAAGGAGACTACTGAACTCATATGTTAATAAATAAACATTTTAATTAGTGCTGTCCTTGCTGGAGGCAATGGAGAGTTGATGGTCTGAGCTGCTCCTGTAACGTCAATGAGCCAGCTCACTGTGATGTCAGCAGGGCCTTCTGCACTCAGTCCTGATTGGTTATGTTTGGATTGCAGGGGCTGGCTTAGCTGTAAGGTGAATATGCAAGGAAGCAGCTGTGTGGAGGTGTGTGTAGTCAGAGAGTGTTTGCAGCAGACACAGACAGTGAGTGGGGCTGTCTACTGGCTGAGGAGCTTTTTTAATCTCTCACAGGTAACTAACCAAACCAGCAGCAGACTTTGGAATTTGGAACGGCTCACTGGGCACTTACGCAGGACGAGTGCAGGCTGCAGAGTCCAGAGAGTGGTGCTTGCTTTTTTCGCCCCAGAACTGTAAGTGGAATCAGTGTACCTGAAACTGATATGCCAACTGAAATCTCTCACGCCGTAAGAATGCATGCCATCTCGGACTTCCATTCCTCCCTGACAGTGCGACTCCTCAACAAGGGGCCAGAATACCTTCGCAGACAGATGGAGGCAGGCACCCCAGGCAGGAAAAGTGCTGTGGAAAGACTGGCAGCTGATAAGGCCAAGTATGTAAAAAGTCAGCATGTAATCAGCACTAAGCAGGAACCCGTCACTGTGCTCAGCTCAGCCTCAGAAAGCAGCAGTGAGAGCTGCTCAGTGAAAAGCAAAAAAACCAACGGGGACTTTGGTGGAGTGAAAGGCAGCAAAAACTTGGAGCTGGCTAACGCAATGTGTTCCTGCAGTGCTCCCCTGGAACAGGATCCACCCATAGTGAGGCGCAGCATCACCAAGAGGCAGGTACGGCCCGATTCCCTAGTGATCTACCGTCAGAAATGTGAGCTGGTGAAAGGCCAAAGCAGTGAGCGGTCACGAGGGAGCCTGGTGAGGCGACTGTTCCAGGGACCTATGAAGGAAAAGCTGCTGGCTTCCCCAGAGATGCCCAAAGTAATAGGAGAGGGCCTCTCACCAGAAAGCGAAGAGACGGTGTTTACCAAACATGCAGCCAATGAGCTGAACAGCCATTTGGCTGAGTGCGTTGCCCCTACACACACAGAAGCACCAGCTGTTCCTGAGAGTGAGGACTCCTCACAACTGACAGCTGCACCTCTTGAGGTCAAGGACAGGAGGAGGAAAGGGCTGCATCGCTCCCAGTCGGATATCAGTTCTCGGTATTCCAAGTCTTTCTCTGAGTTTGACACTTTCTTTAAGTACTGTGGCCTCGAACAGGAGATTGTCGAGGACCTGGGCAAGGACAACTTCTCTGTGATTTCTGACAACATCTCCTTCAGGATCCGCAGCATCAGCATGGCGACATCCGAGAGTGATTTCACGAGGCACAGTGGGGATGATGGGCTGTTGGAAGAGGAACTGACTGAGCAGGTCCCCAGCACTACGTCAGTGATTGAGCGCAATGCTCGGATAATCAAATGGCTGTACACTTGTAAGAAAGCCAAGGAGACTAACAAGGTACTGCGAGAATTTGCATGAAGGCAGCTCCTTTCGGCTTCCATTACAGCCTGGTAAACTCAAGGTGTGTGAAAAGTTCAGCCATGCGCAATTTATATTTATCTTTTTATTAAAACACTGCAGATGTATCCAAATTTATGTCTATTCTCTGAGTGGCAGGAACAAGATGCTTTCTGCACATTACATTATTTTGAATTATTATTATTTATTTATTTGTATTACAGTAGCACCTACGAGCCTAGTTTGGGGAGAATGGAGTTCTTATAAAAGAGGATTCTGGGGTATTACAACAAAAAAGAGAGAGAAAAATACTGTAATTTGTTAAACTGTCTCAGACCCCCCACATGAAAAATAAACAGGGCTTATAAGGAATGTCTCCTCTTTGCAGTTTCCTGCTTTGTAAAGTATTTGTATTTGCCAGTTTTTTCTCTTTTAAACTCAAGACAGAAAAATTATTCAGCCCTTAATGATAGCTGGTAACATCAAACAAACTAAAATGAACCACTCACAATTTAGGAGCCATTTGTATTTACTTTATACTAAACCAGTTTCTCCTCCCCCTCTTTTCTACTCCCCTTTTCCTGCACTTAGTATATCCCAAGCACCAGTAAAGTAAGGTTGTATCCATGTTTCTTCTAGATATTCCATTCTCACAGAGTTTTCTGCCTTGCATAGGAGCTTGCTCCAGCTAAAACCTGACATTTCATAAACTCTGCTGGGAAGTGGGACTGCTCTTTGTGCTGACAATGATTGTGATCAGTTTGGCTCTTTTGAAGTTGGAGAAGTTTGATGGCTTTGGCCACATGGTTGTGCTACTACAATTCAAGCAGCAGATTTTGGAAATCATGTTCATAACTTGTATATTAAAAGAACACTAATCTGGCCTTAACACAGTTCTTTGAAAGGAGTCCATACCTTATCCAAAAGAACATGGACATATAATGCCTGAGCTAATTTCCTAGTGTTATCAGATTTCTTCTGGTGTATCAGTTTTACAATGGTATAACTCCATTGTTTTCAAATAAATTAATCCCAAATTACACTAGACTAAGTAGGAAGTGAATAAGACCCTGTCACTTCACCTACCCGGTTGCCTAGGGACTCAGAGTTATGAAGATATTAGGCTGTGCAATAGCATACTCAATGCATCCCCTGCCATGCTAACACGGTGGTGGGTTTCTTCAGCTCTGACAAGATAGGCTAGTAAAGAGTGTTAAAGTTGCAGCATCAATACCTACTAATTTCAGATAGTTCTTAATGAGGAACGTTAAATAGCCTTTTAACACTATTGAAATATATTAGACTGAAAGAGCTTTCTAGAAAGCTCAAGATGGAAACTTGATATAGATTCAGGGCCTTTCATAGGGGTGGATAAAAAAGTATTCTGATTGTGAACTTTTTAACCAAAAAAATGCATTTTCATTTTCATTTTCAATAGAATTGGGGGGAGGGAGGCTCCATAGAAATATGGAAAACTCAGAAATTCACACTTTTGTCAAAATCATTTCCACAAAATATTTTGACCAGCACTAGAGTGTAGTCAAAATATTTCTCAGAGATGAACAATTCCCCTTATTTGACCTTCAGAGCTAATGGGAAAGAGAGCCAAACATCAAAGATGGATGTGAGGGCTCATAAGAATTTCTTCAGCTCTGGGCAGGAGCTTATAGAACTATGAAGGTGGGGGCCTTTCCTGCATCGGAAGCAGGAGGTGGGCAGTCTGGGAACACAAGTAGCTGGGTTTACATATGGGCAACAAAAGATACCTGGCTCCTGGCTCTCTTTGTCTCTGCTCTTGGGACCAGCTGTGATGCTGTTCTCTTATAAGAACTCTGGTAGGGTTGCCAGATACTTTCACAAAAAATACTGAACATGTCAGGAAAAAAATTGGTTGAGGGGAAAAAAAGGGGGGGGGGGTTGAGGGGAACCAAAGTTGTTGAAAAAAACAAAAACGGAGTCACAGCACCTTTAAATCCACATGCTCCCCGCTTTCCCCACCCCCTCCAGACCCGGCAGGGGAAGGCTGCCCCAAGCGGCCTTCTGTCTGAGAAAAACAGTTTACATATCCATTATTTTCTGGGTTTTTTTTTTTTACTGGACAGAGGCCAATATCAGACACCTGAACCCTAAACGCTGGTAATTTCCATGAACCATGTGGAGAAGGTCTCTTTTTGGTTTTATTGGTATTATTTAGTGGTTAAATGCTATCACTGTGTTCAGCATTGCAGATAACCCAGGAGACAGGTGGTGAATATTCCAAAGAGCCTACAAACCTGATAGCACACATCATAAAAAAACGTCTGGCAAAGGGTGCTGTATGGAAATCAGGAAGTTTACTCACATGAGCTCCTGACCCTGACAGAAGCTCTGCATCTCCCTGGTGCAGAGTCAAGGGTTGCCTTTTTTCTCTTTCTGCCCTTTGACCTACCCATGATGAAATCAGCACCTGAGGCCTTAGGTGCTTTTGCAGCCAAGAGACTTTCTTCTTGACTAGACCCTTAATATTTGTCATGTTAATAATCCACAGAATAGGACTTTAGATGAATTATACTTCAGTTGCATGTCAGAGGTGCATGCAAAGTACAAGGAGAAGCGGGTCCAAAGCTATGACAGGGTTTTCAGAGACATGGTGTTTTTTAATGTAAAATGAAAGTACTGGGTTATAAAATTTAGCATAGCAGCTTTAAGATTTTTTTAAATAATATTCTGATTTTACAATGTCACTCTCATTTTTATTCAAGCTATCCAGAATCAGCTGTTCATAGGCCCTTGCCCAAACATGTGAATGCATTTCTGTTAGGGTTGCCAGTTGTCCAGTTTTGAACTGGTCAGTCCAGTATTTGAGCTTTCTGTTCGGGAAACAAATTGAGAAAATATAAATAAGAAAATATAAATGTCCAGTATTTTCTAAATAAGATGTAATGTAGATTGGGATATAATGTCAAGCGTGTCTGGTATTTTTGTTGAAACCATCTGGCAACCCTCATTTCTGTGCCTACATTTGTTAACATAATTATCTCAAATGCTTGCAGTGATGGGATATTTGCATATCCAAGTGGATTTTTATGACCTGATTCTTTTCTCATTTACACCAGTGTTAGTCAGTGCTAATTTTATTAAGTTAATAGCATTACACCTGCATAGACTTGGTTTGCATACTAGGAAAATTATGCAGGTAGCTACCTAAATACTTATTTGCACATAAATATAGCCCCATGAATGTTTTCATGCTTCTGTCTTTAAAAATGGTAGCCTACAGTTTTTCTCATTTTTAAGATGGGAGATTTACGCTTAAACTTTGTTTCCTTAATGTCTTTTGATGCTGGGGAAGAGGAATGTATAGGAAGCATACACCAGAAAATTTTAAATAATGAAATTAGAAGTAAAGATAAAGAGAGATTCCAAGAATTGACTGACAACCCATTGTGCCTTTGAATTACAAGTAGTTTTATAACCTATTTAGTCTTCTCCATGTAGACACAGGATTTTTGTTTGTTTGTTTGTTTTTGGATTGGGGTTTTGGAGGACAGGGTGTCAAACACATTTAAAATTCCTTAACTGCTTTTTCTTTGAGTTTGTGTCATAATTAGAATGTTGCTTAAACATAGTTGTACATGTCTTTTCATGTGTTTTCAAAACAGATCTCTGTATTGGGACAGGGCAGGAATTTAGCAGATAGGGCTTTTGTTATTGGCTCTGTCACTGATCTGTTTATTGCCTGATCTTGGGCAAGTGGTTTAACCTCTGAGCCTGGCTTGTGCCCTGGAGAAATAATACTTCTCCCCCCCACACACACACCCATCCCTCCTTCCCTAGGGAGCTGTGAGATTTTAATCATGTTTTTAGAGTGTATGGAAGACACATTTTAAATGCTTACTGGTATTGATTTGTATTCCAGCTAGCAATTCAAAGGATGATGAAATATGTGGCTACCACATGAACATTTGGAGTAGCACACACCATTTACAGTGTCAGTCCCTTCCATGATTGACCTAGAATAAGATTGGTCCTCAGGAATACATATACATCCTTAACACTTTTGTTAATATTTAAGAAAGAGCCCCTCATTTTTTGGTACTAAGGTTCCTGTATGAAAGAAAGCCTTTGCAGGGTGATCAGTATTCACCTGAACCACAAAATTTCCACTTCTAACTCATCATGTGTTTACATAATTGGTTAATCAGAAGTGGATATAGCAGAGAGACAAATTAACCACTCACCTATTAAGCCTTCAGCCTAGACTCTATGAAGCAATTTAGGGAACTTCCTGAAGTGAAGAAATGCATCTTGGCTTTCTGTAAATATTGGATGTAATCCACAAACCAAACAGAGACATTCATTACTAGCATTACTGATCTCATGAATTTTACAAAGATAAAACTAGTTCACATGGGAACGAGTGTGACTGGGACATGAATAGTCCAATTCTCTGGGAAATAATATGCAGAGAAGTATAGTACAAACCTAGAATTGGTAACAAACTATTTGAATATGTGAGTAGGTGTGCAACTCAGGCCATTTGCTTCTTGTTAGGCAGGGGGTAGAAAGAGATGTTAACTGCTAAGTGTGACATCTGCTCAGTCACATGTCATTTAATTATATTTAATTACTCAATGTACGTTCCTAATCATTCAAAACTGATGTTATTTGCAGCCCATGATTTAACAGAGTGGGAGAAAGACCTGCATGAACTGTGCACCTTAGGTATCTTTTGGTTAAAACTAAATTCCAAGGACAGGTATGAGCATTCTAATTCTAACAACCTAGGGACCATGTGGCTGACAGTAGCTTCTCCCTCAGCTACTTTCCCAGAAATGAAGGCATCTTGAGTTTAATCTGAAACAATAGTCAGAGGAGCACACTAAATTATGTTTTCCATCCCAGGCAAATATTTTAGTACATTCTGTTTTTGCAATTTAGGAAACTTTAGTCCATCAGGTGTATATTGTAAACCAAACTTTAAATGTACAGTGACAGAGACTCTGCTGGTATCTATCAGTAATGGAGCTATGCTGATTTCCATCAGCAGAGGATCTGGTCCACAATTCATGAAAAAAAAAATCAAGGAAATACTGATTTTAGGCCACTACTTTTAAGAAAACCAGTAACCATTAGAAAACTCACCTAGAAATCAATGTACAGTGCCCAGGACAAAGAGTATTGGGGTCTTCTGGAGTTACTGCAATATATAAATATTTCATAATAAATAAGGCTGAATAAGGTAATTATCACCACTCGATGGAGATGACTCTCTGGTTCTGAGACTTGTTTTTTCCTACAAGCCCACAAGCTAGCTTCTTTTCTGTGCAGCAGTTATCCTGACCACAGGCCAGCATGTTTGTAGCAAAAAAATGCATTGCTACACTGCAGTTAACACCCCTAAAATTGTGGGGGAGACATTTGGGCTTCAACTGCATCCACGCTCTGGGAACCTAAGGGGGAGGATCACAGCCACAGAACGGGTATGTCTACACTACAAAGTTAGTTCGAACTAACGGACGTTAGTTCGAACTAACTTTCCTAGGCGCTACACTAGCGCTCTGTTAGTTCGAACTTAATTCGAACTAACGGAGCGCTTAGTTCGAACTAGGTAAACCTCATTTTACGAGGACTAACGCCTAGTTCGAACTAGCTAGTTCGAATTAAGGGCTGTGTAGCCCTTTAGTTCGAACTAGTGGGAGGCTAGCCCTCCCCAGGTTTCCCTGGTGGCCACTCTGGCCAACACCAGGGAAACTCTATGCCCCCCTCCCGGCCCCGGACCCCTTAAAGGGGCAGGGGCTGGCTACGGTGCCCGTGCCAGGTGCAAGCCTGCCAGCACCCAGCTAGCAGACCCTGCACCTGGCACGGCACAGAGCCACCCACCCGATGCCTGTTCCCAACCCCTGATCATGTTAGTTGCCCTCCCCTCTCCCAGCCTTTCTCTTCCCCTCTCCCACCTCCTTTTCCCAGTCTCCTCCAGTTTTTTTCAATAAAGACAGAGTCAATGTTGGAAGAAACGTTATCTTTATTTTGTACATCAATAAGAAGGGGGGCTAGGGAAGGGTAAGTGGAAGGAGGTGAGGGAGGAATGGGGTACGAGCCCCCGATGGGGAGGACTGGGCTGGCTCTGCGGGCTTCTGGGGGGGGAAGCTCTCCTGCAGCCCCCCAATTACCCCCTCTCCCCAGATGGCAGCCTGCGGCAAGTGCAGCCGGGCTGATGGCCGAGTGGTGTGATGTGCCCAGTGTGGGTACTCCGGGCACTCCAAGCCAGAACTTCTTTGCAAGCGGGGCACCCCTTAGAACTGTCTGTCCGGGGTGGGGGTCGGGACCCTTTAAGCGCAGCCCTCGGCTAGCCTGAGACAGCATCTCCACGCTCTAAGTCCTCCTCTGATGCCCTGCCGGCACTGCTTCCGGCCATCCTTAAGCCCTGTTCAGAGTCCACTTAATGTGGACTTGCTAGTTCGAATTAGCAAAACGCTAATTCGAACTAGTTTTTAGTTCTAGACGCGTTAGTTCGAATTAGCTTAGTTCGAACTAGCGCTGTAGTGTAGACGTACCCAACGAGATGAGACTGGCAAGTTGAAATAGAAATTAGTCCTTCAGCTCCCTGTGGACTTTGTTTAAGCCAAATGCTCAGCATTTATCAGCTGTGGACACATAGAGGCTTATGGACCAGACCTAGCAAACCTACTGCATGGAAACTGCCAGTCAACAGTCTGCAGTTTGGAACTTTTGGACAGATTCCTTAAAAGCATGTGGCACAGTCTGGGGTATTGAGATTGTTGCACCACGTTTTATAAAAGACAAAACCCGACAAAATTCCGTGTATGTGTGTGTGCGTTCGTGTTTCCTTGATTCTAATGTTTATTCTGAGTAGACCAGCTTTTTTAAACTGCAGGTTTTTAATGGGTCAGACTCTCCTATTAATACTTTATGTTCCTAGCTTAATTTTTCATGAATTCTGTGATGACTGGTACTACATAGTATAAATAAAACAGTTCTTTGAGACATGAAGTGAACTAACACATTTGTTTTAGCAGGATGATAATTAACAAGCCATGTGGTCTGTAGTTAGCCTCAAAATAACCCAAAGGTAATTTGACTAGATTTTATCTGGATAAACAGCATCAAAAAGTTACAAAGTCTTAGAAGGCAAATTCGCCAGTGGTGTTAGGAGGAGCACAACTGTACTAGCTTTCAGGACATTTTGCTCCTTATTGCTTCAATGGTGAATATGGCTTTTAAAAAAGAATAAACTGAACATCCTTCTTTCTGATTGTAATCAATATTACACAGTTCATGTCAGTCCTAAACTTCAAAACAGTTTCTTTTAAAAAACTCTCATTGTTAGGGTAGGTTTCTCAGGAAATGAATTGATTATGTTAATAGTAGTTGTTAGCAGCTGAAATGAAGTTTTAAAGCTTACCGTGTACTAGTAGGATGCATTAAGTGTTTTATATAGCACTTTTGTCTTTCCTTAGAATGAAAACATTCCCTGAGCTGGCTGATGACTAAACAGGACACAGACAGACCCAAGCAAAATCGTCTATCGTCTGACTTATGACAACTCAGTGCAATTTTGTCAGCTTCTTGTTGCCCTCTCCACCCATCTGCAGGTCCACTCTTTGTCACAAGCATGTGTTCATACAGAAGTACAACAGCAAGAGGAAGTTACAAACTGAGGCGAAGGGCAAGTAAAGCTTCTGGAAGAGCAGAAGCAGGTTTAGGTGCTAAAATATAGGGTAATAACCACCAAGAGGACAATGCACCAGGTTGTCATCCTAAATGTGAGCAAAGGTTGGTGAGGCATGTCTGGCTCCGACAGATGGCAAACCTATCAGCAAGACTGGGGGAGGAGAAAGTGGGAACTAAGTGGCAATGACCTCTGGGTCAGGCATTTCTTGTCATGGAGGCTCCAGCTACATTTCTGAAGCGTGTATTAACAGGACTTTAAATCTGGCTCCCACAGACGTGATTTCAGAACACTCTGTCTGGCTAGTGACAGTGGACCAAGCATGACAGTTTTATAAACAGTATTTAAAGCCAGCTGTACAACAGCTTCCTTCTTAGGCCTTGTCTAGATTGAGGTTTAAGATAAACTAGAGAAACATTCTCCAGCTAGACCAGGCTGGTTAGCCAATGGGGGACAGATAACTAAAATCAGGTTTCACACATGGTCTTGGGCATAGTTCCAAAGCATAGCTATGACACTGGGAAAGTCAATCCACATTCCATATTGCACAGGACTCTGCTAGAACAGCACTCCATCATGGGAAAATGTGTGGGCTAGGTTGGCTGTTAGGCTCTTTTTATACTTTACCTTGGATCCTGCTAGCACGCTTGTCTGTAAACTAGCACATTTATATTTGTACTAAGGATGACCAACATGTTTATTGACTTGTATTAGTGAATATTATCACAGCATATATAACGCTAAGGCTGGTTAGCCTGAATCTAAAATTATAATGCAGAAGGGACAATGCTAACAATAAACCATGTTAGGATGCAACCTGCACAAATATGTACTGAGATTATTAGACTTGTAGTGCAGACAGCACCATGCTAACGTAATTGTTAGAACAACTACACCTATTTTGCGATAGGCAAGCAAACCTTATTTAAACTGTTTAAACACTGTTTTAAAATAGTTTGTGGATGTAAAGGTGAATTTATGACCTTAGCTATCCCTCAGATTCTTATCTCAGTCAGTCGTTAGTTACAAGAAAATGACTTTCCCTTAGTTATTTCTTCTTGATATCATAAATCACAACAAATGGGGAGAGAGAAATGAAGTAGAAAAGACATTCTGGTCATAGTTATAGGCCTGTCAATCTGGAATAATTGCACTGATAAAAGATAGATCAGAATCTGGCCCTATATTTTGGTGTGCTGAAGGGTTAAAAGTTGAATTGCAGGTTACCATGGCTCTAGTGTTTTGTGTAGAGTACTGGACATTACCTAGCTGTCAGACCTGTACTGTAACAAGTACGGGAAAATGAAATTCCATTCTCAACATTCCATTGGTGTTATACAGAGAACGTAGCCAATTAGCCCTTTCCAGTGATTATCTGCACCCAACAAATATTTCTGGACACAGGAATAGAGGAGATGGAATGAGCATCAGCTCAGCACTTTTTACATCTTAGTAAAAAACTTAGCCTTGTAACACATCTATGAGAGAGAAGAGAAGGACTAGCTGAGGGCATTTTTATGGAGTATTCACTATAGCCACAAGAATCAAGTATTGCCTATTTTAATTTATTCAAACATGTTGAGCCAAAAACTGCACTTAAGTGCTATTTAATTTTTTTCCATCGGCTTTAAATTCACAATAGACTTATGAGTCAGGCGAACCTTATTTAATTAAGGAAAATACATGCCTGTCACCGATTCTCAGCCACAGTAGACATTTGAGAATGCAGGGCATTTGGCCATATTGGTTTACTGTTACTTCACTTAAGTTGTCATATATAAAAAAATAACATTTTCAAATAAAGTATTTATTAAAGGTACTTTCAGCAGCAGAAACTGAAATGTTTGTATTAATGAGACAGAAAGTTTAAGGGAAGAAGAAACAACCGGATCAACTGTGACCATCTTTTTATCACAATCACCAGCACTTGCTCACCAAACCCAATAACCACAGTTTTAGTGAAATATTGCCATTTACAGGAGAATACACAGACCAAGGAGCCCCAAAGAGCTACTATATACTTAGAGATTAGCACTTTAAGGTGTTCAGAACAAATAATCTAATTTTCCATTTTAGTAGATTTGTTACATCATCAATCAAGAATGATACACCATAAATGATACTATGGTAAGGTTCTCTGCTGATGTGCAGTTGTTTACAGGGAGACTGTAAAGATTGGTAAGTCAGCAATGTGACCCATTGTATTCTTCTGCTCACTTTTCAAATTACTGAATGTGGAATTAATTATATGCTTTTGTCAAAAGAACTGAATGGTTTACTGGAAAATATGAGTGAACCACTATAGGCAGCTCAGAACTCATAAGAAACCTGACAGATACAAACCAGTAAACTAATGCAATTCAGGGGGAGGAGGAAGCTTTTAGAAAGGTTTCTGGTTTCACTTTCAAGGATCCATTTGGTCTCTATCAGAGATAGTACTATTGAGATATATTGTCCAATGACTTTAAATGATACGACTGGATATATAAGGGTATGTCTACACTAGCTCATTAATTCGAGCTAGGCAGGAAAATCAGGGAAACGGGGTTGCAAATGAAGCCCGGAATTTAAATATCCCGGGCTTTATTTGCATGTTCCCGTCCGGCCACCATTTTTAAATCCCCTTTAGTCCGAATGAACTGTCCGCGGCTACACGCGGCAGTTTAAAGTTAATCCGAACTAAGTCCTTAGTTTGGATTAACTGTTACTCTTCATTCCACGATTTAAAAATTCATGGGGGATTTTAAAATGGTGGCCAGATGGGAACATGCAAATAAAGCCTGGGATTTTTAAATCCCGGGCTTCATTTGTAACCCCGGTTCCCTGATTTGCCTGCCTAGCTCGAATTAACAAGCTAGTGTAGACATACCTTAAAAGACTTAGATGGGATTCTCAAAAGCACAGTGAATCAGTTGATTCTGTCCCTGTTGAAATCAGTGGGAATTTTTCTATAGCTGTCAGTGGAATCGATAAGGCCAATATTGAGCATTTTTGACAATCCCGCCTTTGGCCTTTATGAGCTGCTTAATGGAGCTATGCTGGCTTTTTACACCAATACCAGAGCAAATGCACCTGGCTTTGTTTAGCTTCGGATGTGAGCACCAAACTATCCAAGCTGCCAAAAATCTCACAGATGACTTGGAACTGCCCAAGACCTTTTCTTACACCTAATAAGCTATGAATTCCCCTTACCTGTAAGTGTCTTCTGGGCAGATCAATGACCTACCCTTTTCCAGGAAAAAGGCAGCTGACAGTCCGTTTATCCCCACATCTCTTGGGAGTGGGCATCTTACCACGCTGATCCTGATCAGCTGGGTCAGCACATTCTGCTCAGGTTCTATTGCTGCTGTTACTTATAAAGTCTTTTGCTTTGGTCTGCTGCTGACCTGCCCATGATGATAGATAGACCAATGGCTACTGTTGGCCATTGCCTCTCTTTATTTTTCAACAAAAACCCTTAAAATAAGGGAGGAATGTGCTGGAAAACTCATTATGAAATTGGTGTGTTTGTAAGGGGTTGTCAAGTTTTCTTTTAATGCTTTAAATCCCAGTCCCACAGAAATTATTTTTTGCTTTTGTTTTCAAGAGGGCCAGGATTTACCTTGGATTTTGATGCAAATATAAAAATTGTGATTGGGGGGAGAAGGTCACAGATTAACTCACTTGTTTTGTTTGACTGGAACCATGCAAACCAAAACAGCCACATTGTATACAATTCTGTTGCACAGCTTGTTTTTAACTACCCGCACAGCTTGGTTTTAATTGCTGAATGTGCTTCATAAACAGTTTAGTAAAGCTAATATCACTGTGAAAAGGGACAACATTCATAGTTTTAACTGAACAGGAAAAAAGTACAAAGTCTGCTTTTATGGCTAGAGGCTGATGTTTACAATTAAGACATCAGGTGTAGACTATGATCCCTTCTGTATATTGTAAATAGTCATCTGTGTAACTGAAGTGCAGCTTGGTCTATATTGTGTATATACAAATACATTTTTCAAAGGAGGAATAAATCCTAATGCTTCAGGGCATAAATCAACAGCTAATTGATGGTAATTAAGAAGAAACTTCCTCCTGTAAGCAAGTTATTCCATCTTTGCCTGTTATGGGGTTTCTTGCACTTTTGTCTGAAGCATATAGTCCTGGGTGCTTGTCTCATATGGAATTTCCTAGGTTTATATGTTTATAAAACAAATCTGCATTTTATTTCATTGCATACAAATAAAAATACATGAGTAACAGTTTATAATTCTTTCTTGATAGTTTTATTTTACATTACTGTTGCCATTTTAAAAATAACAGATCCCTTGTTACATTTTAAAGCTTTGGTTTGGATAAACATTCAAAGGTGCGGATGATTCCCTGAAACATAGCCAAATCCCTGCATAAAGAACTGGGCGGGAAATCTCATAAGATCTCTCACATAAAATGAAGACAGGCTAGACCCTTTCTGGCCTGGCATCCTCTGACCACTGAGCAATCCCGAGCCGAGGAATTTGCTGGACCAGGAGAGGTCAGCACTTCCCTGCTAGCTGCTGGCTCCTATTTCCTGGCTCCCCGCCATCACCACCTGCCCAGCAACACTTCTGGCCCTGGCTTCTAGATGGGGATGCAGGGTGTGGGCAGGTGTGAAAGTGCAGGAGGGGGTTGGGCATTGGATTATTTACCATATGGCAGAGAAGAATGGGTGATTCTGCACTGTCCTCTGTTTGCAAACTCCACCTCTGCCACTCCCATTGGCCACAAATCGCAGCCAATGGGAGTGGTGGGGAAAAGTCTGCAGGTGAGCACAGAGACAGAGCTTCCCTGAACTACTGGCGAAGCATGTGGTTCCAGCCTGGAAGGGAGGGGGAATGGTAGAACATGGAGCTGCCTTGCTCCCCCATCCTCCTGCCAGGCAGAGCTGGCCAAGAACATAGCATGCAGGGGCTTTAGTGGCTGCATCTCAGGGCCCTTGGCTAAAAGGCTCCCACTTAGCTTGGGACCCTGGCCTGCAGCCCCTTTCATTATCCAGACCTGCTCTTCCCCTCCCTCACAGCATGGAACCGGTGCTTTGAGGTTTGGTGACTCACCATTCCCATTTACAAATCTATGTAATCTAGTCATCTAAGACCTAGCTTACACTTTTGACAGGGTATAGCCTATGTGTGGCTACAAGAAATCCCAGCTGCCTTCCCTCTACCAGAGTCTTTCTCTGCAACTGGAGTCTTTCACTGGGCAGGAAAAACTCCAGCAGTAGGGAAGCAGCAGGACCCTACCAGGCTAGAAACGCAGTATAGACATGGGAGAAATTGTTTGGGCAAATAGAGACTCATGTAGGATATGTACCCTAGAGTTCAGACATACAAGGCACTCTTTTCAACTCACCAAAACAGTGCCTCACTGTGTGCTCTTCTCTTTGTATCCCTGCTAGCTTGGTGTACAGCATCTATACTCTACACAGCATCAAAAGTGTACACCTACGCTTATGTGAAAGTGGTCTCACTGACAAGTACTTAACACAACTTAGAGCTCAGTGCTTTGCAGCCAGTAGGATTAAGCTCTTCAGCACACAACTGAAAGTAACTTTGAGATCATTGAAATGCAGCCCCTTTCACAAATCCTGATTAGTTGGGGGGTTTGTGCAGGTAATTATGCATAGTAGGGCAGGGGAGGACATTTTTACTTGCAACTTCTGGGTAGGAAGGACTAAGCCCTCCTTAGCAGTCTGCAGCTGGTATTCTAGTCTCAGGCCCGAAACAGCAGCCACTGTACTTCCTGAGGTCACAGTCCAGAAAAGCAATTAAGCAGATTTTTATTATATTAGCCCCACCCCTGCAGTCTTTTCCCACCTAAGCAGGCATACCTCATACAAGCAATCCTGTGAAGTCAGTGGGAGCAGTCTCATAAATAAGGGTTTGCAAGCTCAGGTTCACAGATTGCCTGGTGTGAATAAACAGTCTTTTTAAATTTTACAAATTACTCCTCAAGATGCTCTTCTTTCTTCTCATCTGTGGGCCAGGTACAAAGCACAGTTGTTGAAAAGAGAACCTGTGGTGATTTTACAGTGGAGAGCGAGACCTTTTGCTGCAGAATTACACAGACTGGTATCTGCTGAACACCAGAGCATATAATACCTTGAAGGGCTTTTCACAAAGCATTCGCTGTAGCTCTTTGCAATTGCCACTGACAGACGCCCCAGAACATAAGTGATTTACACAATCCTGCAAAAAAAAAAGAGAGATGACTCCTAATATATATTCTCTCTCTTTTTAAAAAATGGTGCAATAAGGTTCTTTTATGCCCACTCCTTACTTCAGCATCTGAGCACACTATTTTATACAGTTATACTCACAACCCTGATCCATGAGGTAGGGAATAGCTATTGTTCCCATTTTATAGGTGAGAACTGAGCCACAGAAATGAAGTGATTTGCCCAAGATCATACAAGAAATCTGTGGCAGAGCATGGGCATAGTTTCATATAACCACAGAATCACAGAATAATAAAACTGGAAGGGACCTCGAGAGATCAAGTCAAGTCCCCTGTCCTAAACAATGTTGCGACCATCCTTCTTAATAGTTTCCTTAAAGCTCATCCTTGAAAGAAGAATTTTAAATCACAGTTTTTAAAATACAAAGTAAAAAATCTTGGTGATTTTAAAGTAATTTTCCAACCTGCCAAATAGATTTTTAAAAGCTCACCCTGCTAGAGGTTCACCTCCTCTAGGTCATATCATCTCCTTCACTATCTACAATCTAGGCAGTGGTGCTTCTCAGGCAGCATTGGTGGATGAGCAAAGTCAAAACTTCTGCTCCTCTTTGGTCACTCTGTTGTCCTTTTCCCCACTGTTGCAGGAGAAATGCTAATCAATTGTTAACGATTATTTTTATTAAGATCTCATTTGGGAAACATGACTAATTTTCAGTCACATACACCAAATTGGGTCATGAATGCTGTGTATGCATTAAATGCATAGGCTTAAATAGTTACAAGATGGGTTAGAAACTTAAGCCCATGCATTTGCATATGCAAAATTTTACATGCAAAACATTTTTTACATGCAAAAAAATCCTAACTGTCAGGGTGATCAAATATTGGAATAAATTGCCAAGGGAGGTGGTGGAATCTCCCTCTCTGGAGATATTTAAGAACAGGTTAGATAGACATCTGTCAGGGATTGTGTAGACAGAGCTTGGTCCTGCCTTGAGGGCGGGGGGCTGGACTCGATGACCTCTCGAGGTCCCTTCCAGTCCTATTATTCTATGATTCTATGATTCTATGACTAGCCAGAGTCCTCAACTAGTATAAATTAACAGAACTCTGCTGAAGTTAGTGGGTCTTCTGTTTTGTACCTCCAACTGAAGATCAGCTCCTTAGTACATATGTGCTAACTGGGGCTTGTTATGTGTAAATATATTACCTTCATTCACACACAACTCTGACTTGCGTGCATGCATCGGGAATTTTGGCATGCCACTCATGAACACTGACAAACTTAAATGGTTTTGTCCATTTATGCCTTCCAAAAATTTGCCAAATATATCTTTAAAATAAACAAGAAAAAAAGACAAAAGACTACAGCATTACCAACATCAAAATGAGGCTATGTCTACGCAGCAGCATTCTTTCAGAGTAACTCATGTTATTCCGAAATAACATAGCGCACGTCTACACTACAAGCCTTTATTTTGAAATAATGTCGAGCTGGAGGACTTCTTACTCCGATTCATTGTAACCCTCATTTCACAAGGAGTAAGAGAAGTCAAAGGAAAAGTGTTCTTCCTTCGACTTCCTGCTGTGTAGACAGCACCAAAAGCCAAATTAAGCTATTTTGACTTCAGCTAAGCAATTAATGTAGCTGAAGTTGCATAGCTTAATTCAACTTTAGCCCTGCTGTGTAAATGTACCCTGAGTGTCCATGATTTCCACCATCCCTATCTCTATCCACTAGCTCAGCAAGACAGGACATGAAAACTTGTAAAACCAGTTTGGACAATTTGAGAAGCATTGGGTTGTTTTAGTGAGGAGTTTCAGAGAGGTTAGTCTGTAGCAGGAAAAAACTTAAAAAACAACAAATAGTCTAATAGGACCTTAAAGACTAACAAAACATGTGGATGTTATCATGAGCTTTCATAGGCAAAACTTGGGTTTTACCCACGAAAGCTCATGATACAGTCTACATTTTTGTTAGTCTTTAAGGTGCTACTAGACTATTTGCTGTTTTTTAAGTTTCTAGTGTGGAGTGTGATTAAGGGAGCTAAGAGCCCAGTGTGGATTTTGGGGAATGCTTCTATCTTCTACCTTTGGAAGCATGATCTATCAAAAGTATGGGTGTAGTAATTATTGACACTAGTCCTCTAAAACATCCGATTGTTTGTCACATAACTGTGAACACTGTAAATCAGCGCCGAACTGATCTGCCTCCACTAACAAGCTAAGTTGTAGAAACAAATACAAGTATATTTATTGGCAGTGCATATATGACCAAAGAGTGTGGTGTTGCTCACTTCCTCCTGTTAACTTATCCTCTTTGATTAGTTTTTTCACTGGCTACATAGGTCACTGGAAGCCTAACAATTTCCCCTTCACTGTTCCAGATTTATCTGTGGGCTTTAATTGTTCAATTTATGCTGGCCTTGACAGTCCCATTTTGCATTTACATTTCAAGCAAATTCATCCATACAACGAACACACAACTTGAGGTACTATCATATGGTAAATGTCACATGTTATTTTCTTTTGAATGACATTTTCCAGGCAGGCAAAAAAAATCCTCCTTCCCTGCCTTAATTCTAGAAACTCCTTCAGCTATATTCAAACAAAACAAGCAAAGAGCCAAGGAGCTTTAAGTCACATACTAATCAGAAGCATATTGCACAATCTCTCACCATTTTAGTCTTCTTAATGCCACATCCCCTCCCTTTGCTTAATGCCGTCCCTTGTTAGGTGGAAGCTAGTCTACATAGTAAGTTTCCTGAGGCTGTGGCCTGTCACATTAGCTGAAAAAGGCCATGGGCACCTTGGGAACTAAGTAAATAATAAATCACAAAAATCTTTTAAAGCTGAAATGTATTTCAAAGCATTTGAAGAGGCTTCAGCACAGAAGTGTAAGAGCAAATGTCTCACTAGTGAAAGTAATAAGGTGTTGCCTGTGTACTAACACAGAGGCCTTGCACGGGGGGGGGGGGGGGATCAAGTGCATAAAAGTATTCTTGAAATTTGTTGGAAGTGAGTAGCCTACCCCTCTTCT